TGTGAACTGCGCACTAGTCATCATCTCATTTCGCCCTCCCGAAAAGAATTCGTCCACAAGCCGAAAATAATACGTAGCGAATGAGTTAATGCTGTCCTCTGTTTAATTCCCCTGACTGCCCAATAGCAGGGGAAATGACTCTAACACGACTAGGTGAAGGACGATATGTCATAATGAGTTATTTCCCTTTGTACAAACTGATGAGATGGCCTGGGTTTTTTTAAAATTAGAAAAAAATTAACAAAGTTAAATAATTGATTTATGTTTTTAAAAATTTATTTATGTATTTACCAGACCTGTCAAGTGGTGTGATAAAATTGGGAATCTCCAACTGGCCAAAAATTCTTTGTTATAATAGAGGCACAAATCTCTACACAAAGTGACAAAGTCAGATACACAGCTGCCGGGTACACAGATAAAATTGGAACCCTCTAATTTTTTTCCCCAGGAAGAATCCTGAACGGATTTGAACATAATCTGATTTTTTAAATTTCTTGATAGCCTTTTATTTATAATATATGCAATTTGTGGTAAATTACATTAATTCAACACTTATCGTAAATGAAGCTAAAATACACATTTTCCAATACGGAATTCAGTCAGCTCAACTGTCGAGGGGACAGATGAACTCATGTGGATCTTTTAAAGGCTCCTAGCTGGGACGTGTCAGGTCCATCTGTGCAGTCTCTCTTTCTTCTCAAGTGCTGTGATGGGATGTGTGTGGCCGCTCCGGTAGTTCTGTTGGTCATGCTGGACTGTAAAGTAGTTCTGTTGGTATCATTGTGGACTAGAAAGTAGATGGCCCTGATTCAAGTACCGGGCTGGGCCTTCATGAACTCTGGTGTTTTGGTGGAGTTTTCAGATGTCCTACCCCTTAAATAGCCTTATAGTGTTGATAAGGGCATTGAACCCATACAACAACGTGATAAGGAAAAGATTTGAAACTGTCCTGACTTTCCTCCATGTCACTGACATGGACAACTTTGTTCACAGGGAAGAGGAAGGCAGCAACCCTCTCCTCTAGATCTGTCCCTTCCTCAACAAAATTGCGGAAACTTTCACCGCCAATGTCTACCCCCAACATCAACATGGCTGTCGACAAAGGCACGTTGGCATGGAGTGGCAGTCTCAAGTCTCAGCTACCCAGTGTACTGCCCAGACAAGCCAGGCAAGTTTGGTGTCAAGATAATTCCAGCTCTGTGACTTCAGCAATGCCCACTGCACACTTGCCAAGTACTCTGATAAAATTGGAGCCCTTCGATATTTTATTTCATAATCTGTTCTTGAACCCCAAGTGGATTTACACAAATCAAGGGGGGGGGGGGGGGGGGGTTGGAGATAAATTGAAGTCCATTCCCATCAGTTATGCGCAGCTTATTGTAAATGACAAGAAATTACGTTGGTTTATTTGTCTGACTTACTGTAATGAAGTGGAAATACACGTTTTTATCTGTGTGTATTTACTACACTATTCTATAATGGTTATTTGCTACTTACAGTATGTAATGTGATCTACCGCGGTTCTGGAGACTCCATTTTTTCCTTGTTTCCTTGACACGTGACAACAATCCTGCAGACAGGGATCATCAAGCAACAGACTTACTTACACTTACAGATTTAACAACAAAGGACAATGTTGATGACAAGGAAAATGAAACTGATTCCTCGGACAGAGCGGTGTTGACACAAGAAATGTTTTTTGCTTTAAAGTGCACTTCATCTGTTCCTGCAATAGAAATGTCGACTGTTGTGACCCCAGCACGTCACTGACTCCAGCACTTGACAGCCATGGAAGATGTAATGGTGATGAGCTGATGGACAACTTAACAGACAACGATTTTCAACTTCTATCAAGAAAAGTGGCGACATCTATGAGGACAGGAGATAGCTGGGAGACGCGGGCCCGGGGACTCTCTTGAACTCATCATAAAGCTCACAGCTACTAGTAGTAACTACTGAGTTCCATCTAGTTGTGGAAACCTCTCTCCAACAAAAGCAAAAAACATTTTAATGGGCCTACGGCAGTCCTAAGCCTGCAAACCAACTCCAGTTGGGAACTCAGAAGGGAATGTTTTTTTCAATAACCCATCCCCACCCAAAAAGAAAAAAACCCAACTCAGCGTGAGTGGTCGGTGGGTGCTCTGGTGTGGTTTGTGCCTTCTTTTCTGTTAAACTTCTATTGTCCTTATAATAATATAATCTCTCCTATTCTTTTGTATGTTACTCTCCGGTACTTACTTTCACTTTTTCTGTCCTCTTATGCCACAAGGTGTCGAGGGGAGGTCAATTGTTGGATTTATGCTAGGTGTTTTGATCGTCATGCTGTTCCTTTTGGAAGGCCTCTTTGACTTCGTTGATCCATCTTTTTCTTTTGCCGTGAAGTTTAAGTCATCGAATGACAGTGGGTAGTTGACGGGTGCTCTGTGTGTGGTTTGCTTCTTCTTTCCTATCAAACATCTATCCTCTTTATCTCCCCTCCTTCTTTTTTGTGTTTGTTACTCTCTTGTAACACCTCTAACTCACTGACTACGGATCCCGTCACAGGTACGGGGCGGGCGGTCGGTTCGCAGGTACGGATCTCGTACCTAGACCTGCATGTTTGCCGACAATCGCGACCCGACCCGCGAGCCGGCGGATGCTACAGCTAGGCCCACCTGTATCAGTCAATGTGCGTAGTGTGAGGCCTGGCCGACTGCCAGCGCCCCCTTTTTCTCCCGTCAGCTTTATCGGCACTCTTGTTTTCGTGCCGACGTCGGCGTTTCCGACATAATTGTCGGAACCTGAGTAGAAATGCGAATACGAAAAAGGACGATGACCTAAATTATCTACTTTCAGTTTCGTGCTCGAGCGGCCATTTTGAATTTCGTTTGTTGACTAATTCAATTGTTCAGATCGTGCGGATTCATTCAAGTCCGACTCACTTGTAATAGAATCTAGATCTAGATCTAGATTTATATAGATCATTATAGACCTCAATGGAGGATTCATTTCCAATTCTATTGTGTCAAACCCTATCATAGGTTGTGCTGTAATATTAATGTTGGTTAAAAGCATTTCATCAGGTGCGTGAATTATGAATTTAGAATCTAGAGATATCTAGACTCAGCTGAGTCCCTCTGTTCGGAAGCGGATGCGGGTTTCTAGTTCAAGGCCTACTGTTGTTGTTGTTCGCGCGACGAAATCACAACTTCGTTCCCTACATCTGTCTCATGTAATTCAGTGTATGGGTCTGAATAAACGCATAGACCAGCTTTTATATTTTCACCAAACACTCACACATGGATACAAATCAAAACAGCTCTTTGAACTTTTATTTTTGTTGTTGTTGTGAATTTCATTCTATGTCATGTTTCTGGACATTTTTCGAAAAATCAAATTCATTCCAATTTTGAAACAATCATAAGAATTAAAGTATTAGACCTAGAGAGCTTAAATTTTTTGCAATAGATTAAGCTTGAAAGTAACTTTACTTTACTGTGTCAAAAAATAATGACAATAGGGTAATTCTGAGAGTTGTGGTGGTGTTTTGAAATACCCTAAAAAATGCCAGTACTCAGCGCTAGTGATTTGTGAAAGGGGCCAGTAGTCAGTAAGCTAATCTTCTGGCGCTTTATTTTATATGACCTTTTGCAGTTGCTAGCGTCGTAAAAGCTTTACTAAAACTAAACTAAACTAAAAATGGGTTGCTTGTTTTAATTATGTTATATTTCTGTTTTTTGTGTTGGTTCTGTGTGTGTGTTTATCATTGTTTTGTGGGTGGCTTTGGGGCCGGTCCCCACAAGTCTTGAAATTCTACTTTGCTGCCTCTCAGTTGTTTCTGTCTCTCCATCATAATAGCCTACATACTTGTTTCTTCCGACTATTTTGTTTTCTTACTTTTACTGTTCGTGGTTGGCGGGTGCTCTGCTCCTTCTTTCCTATCAAATATCTATCGTCCGTATCTCTCCTTCATTTGTATGTATGTTACTCTCTTGTAACACATCTGTTCTTCGGCTCTATATGACCTTATTGTGTTGCAAGTGCCGTAAAACTTTTTCTAAAACTAAACTAGGAGTTTGCGATGTAACAACAGTTAGGCACTTCAATTAGCCATGCAGAAGTGAATTCACTTCTGGTGTGAGGAAATATTTTCGTAATACCGGTAGGCCATGTAATTAGTAGAATATCCCGGTCTGCTGGGACGTTTTATCCCTCTCAGCCTAGGTTGGCCCTAAAATAGAAAATTCTGACATTTTCATCTAAATCAAAGTCTGTTTTGAGATCTGGGACCCACTTTTTGAAGAGGGAAGAGCGGTCAAGTTGTTGGTGTCAGTTATGTAAATTAATACCACCATACTTAACTGGTGGGAACTGGCAATGTGGTGCCATCTGTTACCAGTATGTAAAATCTATTAAGAAATTATCTATATTTGAAGCTGTTGAAAAAAACGTCTCCCACAGAATAAGAACTCCTTAAGTCAAACAGTTTTGTTTTTGTTGCATTTTTCTTTTTCTTCTGATTACACACAAAAAGATGCACAAAATGTCCATGAATTGTGAGCATTACGTAATACGTCTTATTATTTTGATCCTACATTCGACGGTCACTATAGAGTGAAGTGAAAAAAGAAAAAGCCCTTCCTGTGAAATACTGTCAAAAGACTGGGTCCCTAAAGGGAAGGTGCTTCTGAAATGGGGCATTTTTTTCACATTTGCCGTGTACTACTGTGTACAAAAAACA